GGATGCAGGTGACATCCCCAGGTTTGGGTGATGCTCTCAGTGAGGGACACAGGTGACATCCCCAGGGCTCAGGTGACATCCCCAGCCCTGGCTGCTGCTCTCAGGCTGTGTTTGGCTCCCCCAGGGCTCCCCTGCAGCTGGAGGAAATTCCTTGTTTTCCAGGGTGGGGATTTTTCCTCAGGCTGGTAAGGAGGGGACAGGGGCGTCTCTGATGTCCCCCTGTCACCAGCTCATCTGTCACCAACTCCTTTGCAGGCAGCCAGCCCAGGCACTGATAACACCTCGGTGTTTTGTCAGCAGCAGCAGCCACCAAGGTGACAAAAGGCAATTAAATCCAGGATTTTCACCAGCTGGAATGAAATATCCCACTGAAATATGCATGTGGGAGCTGCTTCCCTGCCTTGTCCCCATCAGATCTCGGCTCTGTCACATTAAACCTCGCTGAGCAGTGGCCTGGGAAAGCACTGATGTGCTGGGAATGAAACTTTAAATATCTCTGATGGATTCAGGTGCTGTGGGGTCAGGAGAGCTCAGTCCCAGCAGGGCCAGGCCCTGCTTTTAGCTCAGTTCTGCTTTGGTAAGGTGGGAAAGAGTTTTCTGCTTCCAGCACTTCCAGCTTGGAGGAGTTTTGGGGTGTTGGGCAGTTGCTCTAATTGTTAAAAATCAGATGGAATCCTATAAAATCAGGTGGAGTTCTTTCAAATCAGGTGGAATTCTATAAAATCAAGTGAAGTTCTTTCAAATATGGTAGAATTCCTTAAAATCAGGTGGAATTCTTTCAAAATCAGGTGGAGTTCTTTAAAATCAGATGTAATTCTATAAAATTAGATGCAATTCATTAAAATCAGGTGGAATGATATAAAATCAGATGTAATTCTATAAAATCAGGTGGAGTTCTTTCAAATCAGGTGGAATTCTATAAAATCAAGTGAAGTTCTTTCAAATATGGTAGAATTCCTTAAAATCAGGTGGAATTCTTTCAAAATCAGGTGGAATTCTTTCAAAATCAGGTGGAATTCTTTAAAATTAGATGGAGTTCTTTCAAATATGGTGGAATTCTATAAAATCAGATGGAATTCTTTCAAAATCAGGTGGAGTTCTTTCAAATCAGGTGGAGTTCCTTAAAATCAGGTGCAGTTCTTTAAAGTCAGGTGGGATTCTATAAAATCAGGTGGAATTCTTTAAAATCAAGTGGAATTCTATAAAATCAGGTGGAGTTCTTTAAAAATCAGATGGAATTCTGCAAAACCAGGTGAAGTTCTTTAAAATCAGGTGGAATTCTTTCAAATCAGGTGGAATTCTTTAAAATCAGGTGGAATTCTATAAAATCAGGTGCAGTTCTTTAAAAGTCAGGTGGAATTCTTTCAAATCATGTGGAGGCTGAGTTGTCAGCTCCGTTCAGCTGCTGCAGCCCCGTGGAATTGAGCCGAGGGTTGAAATGAGGATTTGCTTCTGTGGGAGGAGGAGCAGAGAGGAAAGGGGGGGCTGAGGCTGGCTGGCTCCTGAGGGGTTAAACCAGGATTAGGAGTGAGCAGGATTTCCTCCTGCCTCCCAAATTCCACCTGGATGCCCACAAACCCTCAGGTGGAGGGGAACCTGCAAAGCTGGAGAATCCCTGGAATCTGCTAATCCTCGAGCAATAATGACTAAATGATGTCTCCTGGAGGGCCCTGGGCTTCCTCTCAGGGAGAAAGCTCTGAGTGGCAGTGCTTAAACTCTTGGAGAAATCCAAACCTCATTATGGCAAGATTAATTTCCCACCAGGAGCTGAGCAGCTCTTCCAAGAGCAGGATGAATAATGGATGAGACCTTGGCAGCTGGAGAAGCTTCCCTTGGCTGTGCTGAGGCAGGAGAAGCAGCCCCAGAGCCCCCCTGGGAGGGGACAGGGACACCCCCAGCTCTGGCAGCTCTTGGGGGGGTCCCAGTGCTGTGGGATGGGCAGGTCCTGCAGGATTTGGGATCATTGAGAAGGATTTGGGATCATTGAGCAGGCTTCCAAGAGCAGGATGAATAATGGATGAGACCTTGGCAGCTGGAGAAGCTTCCCTTGGCTGTGCTGAGGCAGGAGAAGCAGCCCCAGAGCCCCCCTGGGAGGGGACAGGGACACCCCCAGCTCTGGCAGCTCTTGGGGGGGTCCCAGTGCTGTGGGATGGGCAGGTCCTGCAGGATTTGGGATCATTGAGAAGGATTTGGGATCATTGAGCAGGATTTGGGATCTGTTTGTGCTGTGGGATGGGCAGGTCCTGCAGGATTTGGGATCACTGAACAGGATTTGGGAAGTGTTTGTGCTGTGGGATGTGCAGGTCCTGCAGGATTTGGGATCATTGAGAAGGATTTGGTATCACTGAGCAGGATTTGGGATCACTGAGCAGGATTTGGGAAGTGTTGGTGCTGTGGGATGTGCAGATCCTGCAGAATTTGGGATCACTGAGCAGGATTTGGGAACTGTTTGTGCTGTGGGATGGGCAGGTCCTGCAGGATTTGGGATCACTCAGCAGGATTTAGCATCACTGAGCAGGATTTGGGATCACTGAGCAGATTTGGGAAGTGTTGGTGCTGTGGGATGTGCAGATCCTGCAGAATTTGGGATCACTGAGCAGGATTTGGGAACTGTTTGTGCTGTGGGATGGGCAGGTCCTGCAGGATTTGGGATCACTGAGCAGGATTTGGGATCATTGAGCAGGATTTGGGAAGTGTTTGTTCTGTGGGATGTGCAGATCCTGCACAATTTAGGAAGTGTTGGTCCCTGTGCTGTAGGATGGGCAGATCCTGCAGGATTTGGGATCACTGAGCAGGATTTGGGAAGTGTTGGTGCTGTGGGATGTGCAGATCCTGCATGATTTGGGATTGTTGAGCAGGATTTGGGATTGTTGAGCAGGATTTGGGATCTGTTTGTGCTGGGGATGGGCAGGTCCTGCAGGATTTGGGATCCTTTGGTGCTGTGTTCCATCACCGGGATGGATTTTTTGGGATGAGCTCCCTGTGCTGGTACCCTCAGTCCTGCTCCTGCAAAGGGGCTTTTTAGCATCCCAAATTCTCCTTTTCTCACAAAAAAAAAAAAGGCATTTCTGTTCCTCACACCATTGGAATGGGAATTACTAAAAAAGGGCTTTTCCCTTTGAATTCTGCCCCCTGGGTGAGGGATCTCTGGGAGGAGCAGTGCCAGGCCTGGTTTCATGGGCAGAAAATTCCATTTTTATTCCATTTTTGTGCCCCAGTTCTGCTGAGCCCCCCAGGGCACCCCCACCCTGCAGGGCTCAGCAGAGCTGTGTCCCAGCTGGGTGATTTGGGGACAGTGGGGACACCTGGTGACCCCCAGGTGTGGCACATGCCAGTTTTTGAGGGATCTTGGGCCATTTTTTTTGGATTTTAGGGCAAATTTTGGGGGATTTTTGGGATCTCCTCACCCTGTTTCAGGGCTGGTTCTGCTCTGGTTTCCCCTGTCCGTGGCTCCAGGCTCAGAGGAGCTGCCAGGTGTGGAACTGAGGCTCAGGGATGGGAATGTTTGGTTTTCCCGGGGAGTGCTGCTGCTTTTCCTGCCGTTTCCAAGGCAACTGGGAACTCTCAGGGCCACAAACACGCACAGGGTGCCCTTCCCACCTGCTGGAATGCTCACCTGAGCCCCTCCTGGGAGGCTCTGAAATCCCTCTGGATTTGGTGCTGAACTCTGAACATTCCCCCCACCCCTTGGGAGGGGAGCGAGGCCACCAGGCTGCAAAAAAAACCCCAAAAATGGGGATTTTATACTTCAAAAATGAGGATTTTATACTCCAAAAATGAGGATTTTATACTCAACAAATGGGGATTTGGTACTCCAGAAATGGGGATTTAGAACCCCAAAAATGGGGATTTGGAACCCCCAAAATGGGGTTTTGATACTCCAAAAATGGGGTTTTGATAGTCCAAAAATGTGAATTTTATACTCCAAAAATGGGGATTTTATACCCCAAAAATGGGAATTTTATATTTTAAAAATGAGGATTTTATACTCCAAAAATGGGATTTAAAACCCCAAAAATGGGCATTTTTAAACCCACAAAATGGGCATTTTATACCTCAAAAATGGGGATTTGGAACCCCCAAAATGGGGTTTTGATGCTCCAAAAATGTGAATTTTATACTCCAAAAATGGGGATTTTATACCCCAAAAATGGGGATTTAAAACCCCAAAAATGGGCATTTTTAAACCCACAAAATGGGCATTTTATACCTCAAAAATGGGGATTTAAAACCTCCAAAATGGGGATTTTATACTCAAAAATGGGGATTTAAAACCTCCAAAATGGGGATTTTATACTCAAAAATGGGGATTTAAAACCTCCAAAATGGGGATTTTATACTCAAAAATGGGGATTTTGTACCCCAAAAATGAATATTTTAAACCAAGGGGGAAAAAATACAGAGGCTTTGGTACTTTCTGAAAATCAGTTGTTTGCTTTTTTTTTCTAGGAAGGCTTTTCAGCTGTTTTCCTTGGGATTTATGGGATTAACTGCATTTAAAATGATGGGATTAGCTGTAGTATACAATATTACAGCTAATATACAATATCCAATAATCTGCAAGGCAGGAATTTCCTCACAGAATTTGGGTTTCCTCGTGCTTTGGAGCCTGTCCCTACAGGAGTTGTGTGGTTTTGGGGCACAGGGAGAGGGCAGGGGGCACTGCTGGCAGCTGATCCTGGTTTATTCCAGCTCCTGGGGCTTTGTTCTTCTGGAACCCACCAAGCTTTTGGTGCTTTTGGTGCTTCCAAAAAGCTTTTGAGCCTTTTGGAGCAGCTTTGCTGTTTGGCACTGCTGGCTCCTTGGTGAAATCCCATTCCAGCTGCTGGGGATTGGGATCTTTCTCCTCCTTCACTCATCAATCCAGAACCTTCTCCCCGTGCTGGAGAACAGGGTGGGCAGTGTGGGATGGAATTGTGGATTCCAAGGAGCAGGATCCCCCTGGGCTGGCCTCAGGGCTGCACCTTACTGGTCCTTACTGGTTTTTCCCTGCTTTCCAGAGGGCCTGGCAGTGGGAGTTGGCTTCGGGGCAGTTGGGAAATCCGACTCTGCCACATTCCAAAGTGCCAGGTAAGACCTGACCCTGCTTTTTGTGTGTTCCTTTGCCTCTTGGAGCTTGGCTGGCCCACCTTGGCCCGTGCTGGGGGGTTGGGGATCCGTGGATTGATGGAACCTGCCTGGAAGCACAAGGGTGGCAAAGGAGTGGAAAAAATCCCCGGTGCTGCTGCATTTTCCTCACTCTGTGCTGGCAGATGTGAGAAAAGGTTTCTGGTGCTGATGGTCCCTCAGAGGCTCCGTGGTTTTGCCTCTCTGGGATCTCTGGAGCTGGGGAGGGGCAGCTGAGTGTCCCCGTGGGTGCTGCTGGCTCCCAGGAGCTGCACCCAGGGATTTTGGGGTGTTCATCCCCTCCCTTCTCCTGTTAAACATCCCTGGGGATGCTCAGCTCAGCACTGGCAGCTGCTGTGCTGTCAGGGCAGAAGGGCTGAGGCTAGGGATGTGTAAATCAGGAGGAGAGGAGGGAAATCTCAGCCTGGTAAATCCCTTTCCTTGGAGCTGGCAGCAGGAATGGTGGAATCTCCACCCTCCTCTTCCCTGGTGTCTCCATGGCTCCCTGCAGGATTCCTTCATCTCCTGCTGCTGTCCCGCCTGAGCTGGTTCCAGGCAGGATCCCTGGCACAGGGAAATCTGGGATTTTCCCTAAAAGCAGCATCCCCAGCGGCTGGGAAGCACCTGGTGGCTTTGTGTGCCATTCCTGCCAGGCAGGGCCACGGGCTCTGCAGTGCCAGGGAAGCTCCTGGTCCTCTTGGCGTCCTGGCACCCCTGAGTCCTGGCACTCCTGCTCCTGGCAGAGCTCCCAGGAAAACCCTTCTGTGCTTCCCTGGCACGGCTGGGACCTGGGGGCATCATCCAGCTCCTCCAAAAACCTCTGGGATTTGGGCACTGAGGATGTGTGCTGCTCCTCCAAATTCTGTGACTTGGGCACTGAGGATGTGTGCTGCTCCTCCAAACTCTGGGATTTGGGCACCGAGGGTGTGAACTGCTCCTCCAAAAACCTCTGGGATGTGGGCACTGAAGGAGTGTCCTGCTCCTCCAAACTCTGGGATTTGGCACTGAGGATGTGTCCTGCTCCTCCAAACTCTGGGATTTGGGCACTGAGGATGTGTCCTGCTCCTCCAAACTCTGGGATTTGGCACTGAGGATGTGTGCTGCTTCTCCCCAGGAGCCCAGCCTGGCTGGCAGCACCCACTGCCCCTGGCAGAGCTGGGTCTGGGCTGAAGGAACGGGAGAAAGGGAAAAATAAACCTGGAGAAACGGAAGGAAGGGAAAAATAAACTGGAGCTGGGCTGGAGAAGCTGCCGAGGCTTTGCAAGAGCTGCTGGCACCTCTCGGTGGCCGCCCTGCAAACGGCACCTCCCTGCCGGGCTCTCCCTGTGCTCTGCTTTTCCCTGGAATTTGCACCTGCTGGTCCTGCTCCTGGGGAGAACGGGATCAGTTTTAGGGAGAAGTTCCTCCCTGTGAGGGTGGGGAGGCCCCTGGGTCCCTGCAGTGTCCCAGGCCAGGCTGGAGCAGCTTGGAAGGTGTCCCTGGGTTGATGTTTGAGGTCCCTTCCAACCCAAACCATTCCGTGATCCCTGCTGAAGGAGCTGTGGGGTCCATCCAGGCTGATTTTGGGTCCATCCAGGCTGATTTTGGATCTCTCCAGGCAGATTTTAGATCCATCTGGGCTGATTTAGGATCCATCCAGGTTGATGACCTCTCCAGGCTGATTTTGGATCCATCCAGGCAGATTTTGGGTCCATCCAGGCTGATGACCTCTCCAGGCTGATTTTGGGTCCATTCAGTTTGATTTTGGGTCCTTCCAGGCTGTCCAGCCCCTTCTCTGGCCGGGCACAAGCCGTGCCCCACAAAGACCCATCCCAAACCTTCCATTCCCATCCCTGTCGCATCCCAGCCCCCTGCAGTGCCCCAGATCCCAGGAGAGGAGCAGGATCCTCCAGCTTTACTCAGTGTCCCCTCACTCTGGCAATAAAAGAGCAGGATACTCCAGCTTTACTCAGTGTTCCCTTGCCAATGAAAGAGCAGGATACTCCAGCTTTACTCAGTGTCCCCTTGGCAATAAAAGAGCAGGATATTCCAGCTTTACTCAGTGTTCCCTTGGCAATAAAAGAGCAGGATACTCCAGCTTTACTCCCTGTTCCCTCCCCTTGGCAGTGAAAGGTTTTTCACAAAGCCAGCAGAGCCACAAAAGCAGATTTTTTTCCCCTCAGCTGCTGTGGGGAAGCTGAGGAGGAGCAGCTGCTGCTGGCTCTGGGTTTGCAGGGCATTAATCGTGGCAGGTGAAAGGGGAGCAGGAAAATCCCAATGCAAATCCAGTCAGTGCAGAGGGGACAGAATCCCTGCCTGCCACCAGCGTCTGTCACTGTCAGCTCAGGGAATGGCTTGGGAATCTCCAGGAGGGTTGGAGGGGCTCCTTGGTTTGAAAAAGAGCTGGAATAGATATATTTTTATATAGATTATATATTACACAAATATATAAAATATATATTGTGAATTATTTATACAATAAATTATATTATAAATATATATAGGATAGAATATATAATTATATTACATTATATTACATTATATTATGTTATATTACATTATATTGTTATGTTATATGTTTTATATACATTTTATATATACTATCTCTAGATATTTTATAGCTATATAGATATAGGTACAGATATAATATATTGATATAAAATGGTATTTAATGTGAGAGGCAGTGCTGGCTCTGGACTCATCCAAGGGACAATTGCTCCTTGGAGTCAGGTTCCCCCTCACATCCATTCCTTTCAAAGAGCATTTTAATGGAGCAGCTCCGTGCCTCAGTTTCCCTCCTCCATTGCACTTCTCCTCCCTCCAGGGTGGGGCTGAGCCTCTGGGGATGCTCATCCTGCAAACCTGGGCCTCCCCACCCTCACAGGGAGCAGTTCCTTCCCAAAATCTCCTTTGGATGAGTTCCTGACACCTTGCAGGGATCCCCAAGGGATTTTCCAGGCGGTGTGGGCAGAGCAGGGGCAGCCCCACGGTGATCCCAGCCAGGGGCACATCCTGGGATTTGCTGAAACCCCAAAAATGAGAATTTGGGAAGCAGGGAATCCCACATTTAACACAGCCAGAGCTTTGCTGGGCTGGATCAGCCCAGCCACCCCGGGAATGCCTGGGCTCTGGGAGGGTCCAGGATTCCCATCCTGCTCCAGGTCCTGGGATTCTCCATCCTGCTTGGGATCTTGGGATTCCCATCCTGCTCAGGGTCCTGGGATTCCCATCCTGCTCTGGTCCTGGGATTCCCATCCTGCCCAGGGTCCTGGGATTCCCATCCTGCCCAGGGTCCTGGGATTCCCATCCTGCTCAGGATCCTGGGATTCCCATCCTGCCCAGGGTCCTGGGATTCCCATCCTGCTCAGGGTCCTGGGATTCCCATCCTGCCCAGGATCCTGGGATTCCTGTCCTGCTCCGGATCCTGGGATTCTCCATCCTGCTTGGTTTTGATGTTTGAGGTCCCAAACCAGTTACCTGGGATTCCCATCCTGCTCAGGGTCCTGGATTCCCATCCTGCCCATCATCCCAGCTCTTCCAGGATCCCGGGATTCCCCACCCTGCCCAGCATCCAGGATCCCAGAATTCTCATTCCTGCCCATCATCCCAGCTCATCCATGATCCCGGGATTCCCCACCCTGCCCAGGATCCCGGGATTCCCATCCTGCTCAGGGTCCTGGATTCCCATCCTGCCCATCATCCCAGCTCTTCCAGGATCCCGGGATTCCCCACCCTGCCCAGGATCCCGGGATTCTCATTCCTGCCCAGGATCCTGGGATTCCACATTCTACCCATCATCCAGGATCCCGGGATTCCCCACCCTGCCCAGCATCCAGGATCCCAGAATTCTCATTCCTGCCCATCATCCCAGCTCATCCATGATCCCGGGATTCCCATCCTGCCTGGGATCCCGGGATTCCCCTCCCGCCCGTCTCCCGGCCCTTCCCGAGATTCCCTCTCCTGCGCGTTTCTTTGCTGCCACCGGGTGTGCAGGCTCCGTTCCTGCGCCCGGGATCCGCCGGGAGCTGCAGCTGGATCAGGGCCCCTGGCCGGGATGTTCATCCGTGGGGAGAACCCACGGAGAGGCTGTGCCGGGGAATGGGGATGGGAATGGGGATGGTGATGAGAATGGGAACAGGAATGGGAACGGCTCCCCAGTACCAGAGGGCAGGGTTGGGTGGGATACTGGGAAGGAACTGTTCCCTGTGAGGGGCTGGGATGGAATTCCCAGAGAAGCTGTGGCTGCCCCATCCCTGGAATGGGGTTTGGATGGGCTTTGGGGCAGCTGGGATGGTGGCAGGTGCCCCTTTTGGGGTGTTCTCCGTGGGGCTGAGCTGCTCCCATCCCTCGGGCTGCGGGGCCCTGCTGCTCCTGCCCCGCTCCCTGCAGGGCTGGGAACGTTGGGAATTTCCACGGGGTGCTCAGGACAAAGTGCTGTGGGGGCAGGAGAGGAGGCAGTGCCAGGGCAGTGCCAGGGCAGGGCGGGAGCGCCCAGGAGGGGAAGGTTCCCTCCAGATGGGAATGGGGAAGGCAGGAGCTGCTCCTGGCCGCCTTCCAGGCAGGAAGGTAAAGAGAAGGGCAGCCATGGCTTAAAAAAGCTGCTCTGCATCCTCCTGTTCTCCTCTGAGCCGGGGGGAGGGATCCTTCCCCTCCCTCCCTCCTTGGGTGGCTGCTGGAACAGGAACCAGATGGGGCTGGAGCTGCTGGGAGCAGCACGGGCAGGGGACAGGCAGGGGACAGGCAGGGCACACACAGGGGACAGGCAGGGGACACACAGGGCACACACAGGGGACACGCAGGGGACACGCAGGGTATGGTCGTGTTCGAGGGTCCCAGGACGAGGGAAGAGATGAGAATCTTGACTCCATGTTTCAGAAGGCTGATTTATTATGATATTATATTACATTAAAATGCTATACTAAACCTATACTAAAAAGAATAGAGAGAAAGGATCCATCAGAAAGCTGGAAAGGAAAGCAGAGGAA